TGGTGGTTCCCATAGCGCAGCAACCCGGCAAAGGGGATGCAGCAAGGAAAACCACTGTTACCTCTCCGCTGGGAAGCGCTGAGCAAAGGCGAGTCCCCAGGCAACGCGGCCGATTTGATCGGCACAAGGCATGCAAGCTCCACCCCCCTAGTCGTTCTTAGACTCCTTATTAGGTGAGCAACGCAGCCAAGCAACACAGTTGGAGCCTCCCTCCCCCCTGGCCGGCAGGGAGGGAGGGAGATGAGCTGCTTCCTTTGAAACCCGGGAAATTTAAGGGACATCATCAATAAGGGACAGCAGCGGGACATGGCGCTGGGATAAGGGACTGTCCCGCCAAATAAGGGACGCTTGACAGCTATGAGGGGGAGACACCTGGGCCTCTTCCCCAGTTGGACTCATCTCTGCCACTTTGTCAGCTTCGCCTTTGAGCCGGCGGCACCAATGACTGGGCTCAACCTCTTCAGCCCCGACTGGGCCAGGCGAGCTGGGAGAGCACTTCCAGAGACCTTCCACCTCAGGGAAGCAGGTCTAAGTGCAATGGACTCACAACTTTGAGCTGTGAGCACCAAACTCAGCAGAGCACAGGAGAGTATGAACTACACGAACGACGGCTCTGAAGCATAACTTCTTTATTCTTTTACAACTACTGCAAAACTCAAATACAAACTAGAAACTAAAGACTGTCGGAGGCTACTGGACTGCATGAGTGTTACAGTTGCTTAAGCAGTCATCTCTACACAGATAACACTCAGACTCCCACAGAGTCAGGCTGGAGCTGAAGAAGCAGATTCCGCCCCCTCCTTTCTGAAAACATTGTCAGGAGATTCTTGCAATGGGAGGGGTGAAACATCCACACACTTGACCTCCTCTCCAGCTTCTGCCCCTGAATCTGGACTTCTCTTTTTAACCACAGACTTCCCATGCTCACTCAGCCCTGTTACCTCCTGGAACTTTCCCAAGCCATCTGAGACTATGCCAGTGTGCCTGCCTTTGCTCCTATCACTTCATACCTCTCCTGGTCTTGGGAGACTAGGGGGAGGGGAGCTTAGAAGGCAAGACACCTCTGCTTCTTCACCAGTCTGACTCATCTCTGCCTCTTGGCCTCCCTCCTCTCCTGCTTTAGCTTCTGCATCCAATTCTGGAGTCTCTGCCAGACTCTCCCTGCCTATTAAACCTCTTCGGCTTCTGACACCTCCTCTTCCCAAATCTTCTCCCTCTGACCACTCATCACTGTCCCACCACCAATCCCCTGGCTCTGAGCCTTCTTCCCTTGGTGGTTCCCCACCTGGTTCCTCCCACCTTTCCTCTGCGTCCAACCAGTCTGGGATTTCCTAGAGGAAGTTGGCATCTGCCAAGTTGCAGTGAGCATAAGAACATCAGAAGACAGCCCTTCTGGACCAGGTCAGTGGTCCATCTAGAAGAGCAAACCACATGCCTGTGGGAATCCATCAAGCAGAACCTGAGCACAAGACAACTCCCTCCTCTTGTGGCTCCCAGCAGCTGGAATTCAGAAGCATTGCTGCCTTCAACCATGGATGAGTGCAGAGAGCACCACAGGTTCATGGGGAACCCATTTGTAGACGACCTGATTCTGGGTCAAGGTTTCGTACGTAGCAGAGCAGCTCCCTTGCGGCGATCTACGGAAAGTCAGCCCTCAACACAAGTGATTGTTTATTCAACACACAAATAAACTTGCAGTGAACCTTGGTTAAGCTGATGCCATGACAACGTCGGGAGCAGCTCTGCTGGATCAGCCAAAGGACCTATTTAGTTCAGCATCTTCTTTTCCCCAGTGGCCAGCCAGATGCCGAAATCTGGAATGACCAAACAGGACATGAATGCAACAGCCCTCTCTGTGTTTCTTCAGCTGCTGCTGTTCCGAGTCGTGCTGGCTGTTCGCAGCCTTCATGACTAGAAGCCAGATGTATGTAGTTTTATCCTCCATGTGTTTAATCCTCTTCTAAAGCCATCTAACCCAGGGTTGCCCAAACCTGGGTCTCCAGCTGTTTTTGGACTACAACTCCCATCATCTCCAGCTTGCAGTGGTCAAGGCTGATGGGAACTGTATTCTCCTTCACGAGAGGTCCAGAGGGTGGCAACACGAGAATGGGGCCTTCTCTGCAGTGGCTCCCCATTCATGGAATGCTCGTCCCAGGGAGGTTCACCTGGCGCCTTCATGATACACCATTAGGTGCCAGGCAGCAACGTTCCTCTTTAACCAGGCCTTGGGCTGACTGACATTCAGTGCCCTTTTAGAACGTGTGTGTGTGTTTTATTAGGTTGTTCTTGTTTTTATTTTGATTATGTATTTTGTGTTTTTATATTGGGATTTCATCCTGCGAACTGCCCTGAGACCTGCGGGTATAGGGCGGTAAATGAATTTAATTAATAATTATAATAATAATACTAATAATAGTCTAAAAACAGCTGGAAACCCAAGTTTAGAAAGCCCTGATCTAACCCAACAGCAAGCACCATGACTTGCGATTGCAAATTCCGTAGTTCAGCTGCGTGAAAAAGACTTGCTTCTGCCTCTCCTGTGGGTCTAAGGTTTTTTGAGGGAGGGAGAAGAAAAACTTATCACCACTTTCTCTTTTCTCTACACAACGCAGACCACATTTCCCCCCGCAAACTAACCCCACTTAAACATATGGGTAACCTTTCCTCATAGGGCAGTTTCTCCATCCTGCTGATCACTTCACTTGGACCTTTTCCAGCTTTACGGTAGCCCTTTTGAGGTGAGGCAGCCAGAACAGAACACAGTACAGTCATACCTTGTGTTGCGTTTGCTTCAGGTTGAGTGTTTTCAGGTTGACTCCTGCGGCGACCCGGAAGTACCGGAAAGGGTTACCTCCAGGTTTCGCCGCATGCGCAGATGCTCAAAATGATGTCATGCGCAGAAGCAGCGAATCGCGACCCGCGCAGACGCAGGTTACGTTCTGCTCAGGTTGCGAACGGGGCTCCGGAACGGATCCCATTCGTAACCAGAGGTACCACTGTACAGTGGAACCTTGGGTTGCGAACCTGATCCATGCGGGAGGCACGTTCGCAACCCGCAGCGCCGCGTCTGTGCACGCGTGGGTCACGATTCGGCGCTTCTGCGCATGCGCAAAGTGTGATTTAGCGCTTCTGCGCGGGCGCCGAAACCCGGAAGTAACCCGTTCTGGTATTTCTGGGTTCAGTGCGGTGCGCAACCCGAAAACTCGTAACCTGAAGCATCTGTAACCCGAGGTACCACTGTATCACAAGTTGTTACATTTGTGCAGATCAGTCCTTCCCAAACTTAACACCCACCCACCCCACCCACCTAGATCACTTGAAAATGGCTGAGGGTCTTAGCGACTTAATGAGTTTTCTCCCTGTTGTAGCAGCTGCAATAAATAGGCTGCGCTAGATACTGTATGATTTCTAAGTGCATTTTTATTGCTTCTTTTATTTCCGATAGACGTTCTTATATAATGCATTCCAAATTCTTATAGGGTAGCATAACAACATAAGAAATAAAAGAAGCAATTAAAATACAATTGAAAACCGCCATGGATATTAAATGCGATGGGTGCGTTGTCTTCTGTCTTCAACCCCAAATCCATAAGCATGCCACAGAGACATGATATCGGCAGCTTCGTTTTTAAAATCCGTTTCCTAATAATTTCTAGGGTGCAATTTGACAATATGACGTTGCAGCACCCTCTTCTCTCATCCCAGTGTGGTGTAGCGGTTACCTTACAGAGTGTTTGTTGTGGGGGAGGAAGGGAAAGGAGATTGTTAGCTGCTTTGAGACTCCTTTGGGTAGTGATAAAGCGGGATATCAAATCCAAACTCCTCCTCCTCCTCCTCTCTATATAGTTGAGAGTTCCAATGTCCAAAAGTCCAGGATGGCAGGTATAGCAAACGGCACCCCACTTCCTTTGCCCATATTGCTGCAATAAAGTTGTGACATCAGGAATTGGGAAGAGGACTAACAGTGTGATTGAAAAAGGAAACATGCTAAATCTCCTCACCTTTCTCTCCCCCCCCCCATCACATCAAGCCCATATACTCTCACACCACATCATGCTTGCACACCTGTAGGAATCTTAACTTACTCCTCGTGTTTTGGGAACGGTTTAGGTACCTTGTACCTGTGCTCATTGTAAGGTGCGTAAAAGCCTACAGTTTTTAATAGGAACGGGAAAGTACCAATTCCCTAGAAAGGAAGGGGGATCTAACGCCCAGTGCGGCCAGGAAGAAAACTCTCCTGGGCATAGTGGGCCAAATGGTGTTTAAAAAGGATAGAACTTTCTTTATGTATGCAACAACAGCAGCAAGAATACTCATCGCAAAGTATTGGAAGACACAAGAACTTCCCACGCTGGAGGAATGGCAGATGAAACTTATGGACTATATGGAATTGGCGGAAATGACTGGCAGAATCCGTGACCAGGGAGAAGAGTCGATGGAGGAAGATTGGAAGAAATTCAAAGACTATCTTCAGAAACACTGCAAAATTAAGGAATGTTAGAGTGATGTTGGATTGAAAATAAGTGGTTTCCAGCTGTACAGGTTAAAGCTAGGATAGATTAAGATTAAAGATTAAGATTGGGAAAAATTTAAAGGTATATGACATTAAAAACAAGGATTATGTTTATGTTATATAGTTTAATATTTTATTAAATTAAAGATTGGGTTTAAAAAAGTGGAAAAGAAATTGCTGGACAAATAATGTAGATTGGAATACAAAAGAGGGAGGTATGAGGAAGTCCAGAAAATAAGTAATTCAAAATTGGGAATGTAAAAGAGAGGTTGTTTTAAATTGTTATGTTGTGTGTTTTTATCGTTAAATTTTGTATTGTTTTTTTTGTGTGTGTTGTTTTTTCTTTTTTCTTTGTTTAAAACTTTAATAAAAATTATTAAAAAAAAAGAAAGAAAAGAAAACTTGCCTCACCTACTGCCCCCCCGACTGAGATCTCTCTGTAAAAAATAAAATAAAACTACTTGCACTTTTCAGGTTTATACATTTCACCAATTTCACAATCATTTTAACATTTCAAAACTCGACTTCCTTCCCCCTCCCTCTTTCTACAGTTCCTTGAATTTATTTTTAGTATCTTCTGCATATCCAAATTAACTTAATTTGCTCATTTATTCATCTACTTTAAATACATACTCTTATAAAACTGCAGGTTATTACAATAATCCTGCCAATGTTCTTAACCTGTTTACAATTTATCTGTAAATGTTCAACAAACCATTTCCATTCTTTTATAAGCAGTTTGTTGTCTTGATTTCTTACTCTTCCGGTAAGTTTTGGTATCCATTCTTCCTTTGCTGGGACTTCTGCTTCTTTCCATTTTGGGGCAAGTAACATTCTTGCCGCTGTAGTAGCATACATGAATAAGTTTCTATACAGTTTAGGTCGTTCTGTCCCTATAATTATGTCCCCTATAGTACTTTGGGGAATTTGAGATCTCTCTCTCCAAGCTCTCTTTGAGCCATACCATTAGTTACTTTCAGTCATGCAACCAGGCCAGCAAAAGATGTCCTTAACAAGTAGGTTCTGGGGCTGAATTGGGGTTCATCTCTCTTGCCTACCCTGTAGTTTAAACTTGCCCCCGATCTTTCTACTTTTGGGGGATAAGCTTCAAAGCCCTGTGCATCCTTTGCGCCTGTAGATTTCTTTTTCCTCCATGGCGAGAGGTCAGCAGGGACCTTCCTCCTCCTCCTCCTCCAGGCGCACCAAGAGTTCCTAGTATTTTTTGTAAAGTATGTGTATGCTTTGGATTAAACTGCTCTGCTGAGCCAAAGAGGCGGCTTTTGTGTGGGGCCCGGAGCATACAGAGGGGTGTTATCCCCATTGCCACAGCAACGCGCATTTGAATTCAGAACAGTTGACTTGGCACCGTTTCCAGGCACAAGGCCTGGTTCGAAAGCCCTCGTAACCTGCCTCAATAGGCCTGGTTGTTAATGCGCCCGACACCGACGTAATCATTAACTGCGCGGTTGTGGCAGCTTGCATTTCTCTGTCCTCCTCCTGAACTGTGAAATTCACGGGGCGCAGAGCCGCACCGTGTGGGAGATGCTAACCCTTTGCCTCCTCCGGGAGACATATCTCGCCCGTCCTGCCCTTTTCGGCAGAAACCAAAGTTTGCATTTCAGGCACACAGGTCGCTGCACAAAACCATCTGTATCCGCAGGGTGGTGGCGCTGCAGAGAGAGATGCGTTCCTCTTCGTCTCATTAGAAGTGCACAGATGGTTTTGCTCAGGAGGAGGTTGCCCCCTTCTCTGCGAGGGCCTGTTAACGTGGGGTTTATTTTGCACTTTCTGTGACCTGTCTCAATAATAGTGGTTTGGTAGGCCTGGAAAAATCGTTTTGCTAAGTGTAGGGTTCTGGGCAAATTGGGAACCAACCGCTTAAGTAATGCCCTTACCTTTGGGACGGTCCTAATGGGCAGGTTTGCAACCTCAGGCTCAGAGGCATCTGGTGCGTCCTGGCTTTTGAGAAGGAAAAAAACTATTTACAGTCAGAGTCTGTGTGCCACATCTAATGTGCTGACTGGAGTACCAGTGGGGCACAAATGGGTCTGTGTGGTCCATTTTACCCCATGGATTCCACACTGTGTGTTTGTCTGAACCCCTGACCACTCATTTCTTAGTGGTGTTGCTAATAAAGTTATTTACAGTGGACGCTCAGGTTGCAAACGTGATTCGAGAGGGATGCACGTCCGCAACCCGCAGCGTCCACAACCTGCAGCGGTGCATCTGCACACGCGCGGGTTGCAATTTGGCACATTTGCGCATGCACAAAGAGCGATTTAGTGCTTCTGCGCATGCACGGCCGCCGAAACCCGAAAGTAACCCGTTCCAGTACTTCTGGGTTTCAGTGATCCGCAACCCAAAAAAACGCAACCTGAAGCATCTGTAACCCGAGGTATGACTGTAGTAGCATTATTTAGTAGCTGAGATTCCTGCGTTTCAGAGGGTTGGACTAGATGACCCCTGGACCCCTTTCAACTCTATAGTTCTATGATTATTTACAGCTCCCCAGCAGGCAGTGCCGGATTCATGTATAAGCTAAACAAGCTATAGTTTAGGGCTCCAGTCTCTTAGGGGCCCCCCAAAAAATTAAAGAAAAAAACCTGGATGTACATTTCCAAAATATAGGATAAAAAACAAATAAAATAAAACCTACATACAGCAACAGTGTTTTGTGTTGTGTAGGCTCCTGTGATTTAAGTCATGGGCCCCGCCTGCTAGCCTCCTCCCTGGTTTGCTCATTTCCACCACTGATTTGCTCATTTCTAACAGTGACAATTTGTTGTTGACAAAGGACAGCTGGACATATAAAGGGCCCCATTACCTTCAGTAGCTCAGGGCCTCATCAAACCTAAATCCAGCCCTGCCGGCAGGGAACTAAATATGAGCCTGCAGAAAATGATTGTGTTTAGTCCAAGGTTGTCAAGGTTCACCTGGACTACAACTAGGAATGCCAGAGAATTTCATCGGAAGTGGAAGTGAGTGGAAATTGCCAGGGTTTGCTAAATTTTCACATATCCACAATGCAAACCGGTCCTGCGGCTGTTGTACCTTTCGGCCCATAAAACGTTAGGTAATTGATTACATTTCCCACACCCATCCAAACGCATTGCATTTCCTTGAAAGAAATGAGGTGGAATAACGACATAATGACCGTCTCATCATGTAAGTTATGTAATTTTGCCACATAGGACAGTGAGGCAAATAATGTAGTGGGGAGACTTTCCTCCCAGGGGCCACATCCAGTTCTGGGCAATCTTCCGAGGGCCACCTCGCAGTAGTGGACGAGGCCGGAAGCAAAATGGGTGCAGCAATGTGTAAATTTTAGCTTTGTATGGTGGGCTGCTTTCTGTACTCACCTTTCATCTGTCATGAATGCTTTAGCTGAGATTCCTGCATCAACCCGCACAATGTTGACTAGTTGGACTACATAACCCTTGGGTCCCTGCCAGCTCTAAGATTCAATGATTCTGTATCCTCCATGCAGGCAAGGCAAGGGTATTATCAGAGGTCAAGGACACAATCCAGCCAGACAAGGCCCAGTGAGAGGTGTGGTCTGGGCAGACTTCCAAGGGCCAGATGGAGAGGCTTGGAGGGCCGCATTCAGGTCCAGCGTCTGAGGTTCCTCACCCCTTCATATGTCCAGGGCGGGTGCCAGGAGCAGGCCACACGGTTACCGTGAAGTTAACTCTTTATTCGAAGAAACACACAGCTCAGGAGGCCAGGCCATGTGAGAACAGCAACTCTTCCAAGAAGGTCTTGCCCCAATGCGGCAGTTGCGAGGCCTGAAGGTCGCTGCCTCCCCACAGCTCCCTAAGCCTCCTCCTCCCCCAATTTCTTCACAAGTGATCTGAGGCTCAACTGTCTTGCCTGTCGTTGCTCCACCCTCTTCATGCCTTTTCTGGTTCTGGGAGACTGAGGGGAAGAGGCAGTTGTGGGGGAGGAAGGTCCCTGCCTTCCCATCGCTCTTTTAAGGCTCCTTCGTCTTGTTTCTCTACGCTTTGCCCTCTTCATTTCTCTCCATGTTATGGGAGATCAGGGTGGAGGGGAGCTGGTTGTACAGGAGGGGGAGACTCCCTGGCTTCTTCAGCAGCAACAGAATAATAATAATAATAATAATAATAATAATAATAATAATAATTTATTTATACCCCGCCCATCTGGCTGGGTTTCCCCAGCCACTCTGGTCAGCTTCCAACAAAATATTAAAAAATACAATGAAACATCAGACATTAAAAACTTCCCTAAACAGGGCTGCCTTCAGATGTCTTCTAAAAGTCAGGTAGTTGTTTATTTCCTTGACATCTGCTGGGAGGGCGTTCCACAGGGCAGGCGCCACTACCGAGAAAGCCCTCTGACTGGTTCCCTGTAACTTCCCTTCTGTTAGTGAGGGAACCGCCAGAAGGCCCTCGGAGCTGGACCTCAGTGTCCAGGCTGAACGATGGGGGTGGAGACGCTCCTCCAGTTATACCACATGCCTCGTCCCTGTCTCCTGGCCCCTCTCTTCTTCTGCTTCTGAGTCTGAACTGCTCTCTGCCATAGGCTCTTCCTGCTCACTAAGCCCTGTCACCTCCTCGGCTTCCAACACCACCTCCTTCTGGTCTGCTCCCTCTTCTCCCTTTGACCACTGGTCACCAGTGCCCTTGGGGGTTCCCCAGCTGGTGCCTCCCACCAGTTCGTGACACACAACCCCATTCTATCTCTGAGCACTTTGTGTTCAAGCTCCTTGATGTCCGTTGACTCATCACAAATATTAAAACAACCCTGTAAGATGGGTCAATATTATCCCTATACTGTGCAGGGGGTGGGGCCTCAGATTGAGAGATTCCTAAATTTCCAGCACCTCCCATTTCCAAAACCCGGAGCACAAAATTTGGCTGCCTCTGAAACATGCCGTAAGCATTGCACAAAGGAACACACTGCCCTATCCCGCCCGACCAAGTCCTTTCCGGCCTTCTCCTAAAAATAGGCCGTCTGCCTCGTAAGGGGCTGTGTGTCCAATTTTCCCTCAGACAAATTACGATGCAGTTCGACGGGATGGTGGCAGCTGGCTCCATTTGAGCTGCCCCATTGTTCTGCGTTAATTTGATTTCCATTGTGTGCGTGCCGGTATCGATAAACTCAGTTACAATTCCTGTGGCCACCACATGCCCTCCTTTCAGAAGGGCTGAATTGCAGCCGCACACTCATTATTATGCCAAGCGGGATCCGGGCCAGCCAATCGGGTAAATGCGTGTGCATGGGGGGGGGGGAGAGGGGGGTATTCAGTGCCAAAATAAATAACCCTTTTGTCCAATTGGAAAGCAGCTTGTTTATAGAAGCTCGGAGCTGTTCGAAAACACGATTGTCCGTAGACGAGACGATAATACACACATCCGTGGTATGCACAGGGCCTCTAGGTGAATATTGCAACATAAAACGCAGAGCACCTACATCTCTCACAAGGAACGGTTAAATTTGCATCAGTCCTCAGATGTAACAGGGACAATGGGTGCCTTGCAGTCACTCCTGCTATGATGTGTCCACATTCAATGGATGTCCATTAGCACTGTTAATAGAATGAGGGTCCGTGATTTATTCCTTTTTCAAAAATGCTGGGGTCTCACCAGCAGAGGAAGCCATTTATAGGGCAAACGGTGGCTTGCTCCTGAGCTCTTACTCCTTAACTGAACGTAAATTAACATTTTCCACAGGGAGGGGGAATTCCTCGCATGCAAAGCAAAATCCATGTGTGACATTTGGAACGGCGATGTATGAAATAATTGTTTTGGTACTGGACCACAGATCTGTCTAGGGCCGCCACTTTTTATAGGAGGAGGAGGAGGAGGAGGAGGAGGAGGAGGAGGAGGAAGAAGAAGAAGAAGAAGAAGAAGAAGAAGAAGAAGAAGAAGAAGAAGAAGAAGAAGAAGAAGAGTAGTAGTAGTAGTAGAAGTAGTAGTAGTAGTTTGGATTTGATATCCCGCTTTATCACTACCCTAAGGAGTCTCAAGGGATGCGGGTGGCGCTGTGGGTTAAACCACAGAGCCTAGGACTTGCAGATCAGAAGGTTGGCGGTTCGAATCCCCGCGACGGGGTGAGCTCCCGTTGCTCGGTCCCTGCTCCTGCCAACCTAGCAGTTCGAAAGCACGTCAAAGCGCAAGTAGATAAATAGGTACCACTCCGCTGGGAAAGTAAACAGCATTTCCTTTCACTGCTCTGGTTCGCCAGAAGCGGCTTAGTCATGCTGGCCACATGATCCGGAAGCTGTACGCTGGCTCCCTCGGCCAATAAAGCGAGATGAGCGCTGCAACCCCAGAGTCAGCCACGACTGGACCTAATGGTCAGGGGTCCCTTTACCTTTACCTTTAAGGAGTCTCAAAGCAGCTAACAATCTCCTTTCCCTTCCTCCCCCCAACAAACACTCTGAGGTGAGTGGGGCTGAGAGACTTCAGAGAAGTGTGACTGGCCCAAGATCACCCAGCAGCTGCATGTGGAGGAGCGGGGAATCGAACCCGGTTCACCAGATTACGAGTCCACCACTCTTAGCCACTACACCACGGTGGTACCCAACCAGGCAGTAATGGCCACCGATTTAGAGGGCTTTAAAAGAAAGTTAATGCAAATTCATGGAGGGGAGGGCTATCAATGGCTGTCAGCCGCGATGGCTACACTCTGCCACTCCACAGAATGTCTTCACACAGCGCATAGTTAAACTGTGGAACTCCCTCGTGCAAGAGGCAGTGATGGCCAAGTCAAATGGATTAGACAACTACATGGAGGAGAGGGCTATCAGTGGCTATCTTTGTCTCCACGGTCCAGCTTGCAGGCTTCCCACTGGGGCATCTGGTTAGCCCTTCTGAGCATGGATCCATAGAATCATAGAACTGTAGAGTTGAAAGGGACCCCGGGGGCCATCTAGTCCAACCGCCTGTAATGCAGTGCTCGTCTTATTTTCCCATGTACCATAATAAT